ATCTATATATATATATTAGTCCACTGCCTGGAAAATTCGGAAGAAATGGAGAAGCTACAGTAGAATTAAGTGAAAACCTTAGGTGATTTGATTTGAATGCTAAATAATTACATGCCTAATATAGGTACGTTATTTATATATACATCAATATACAAAAGTTATGTAGAATTAAATAAAAATAATTTTGATAAATTTCAAGATATGTGAAAAGTGGGACATAATTTTCAGGAGAAATTCTTACTTTATGAAGAATCAGGTGTTACAAAGTTGGAGGATTGATCACTTAAAGGATGAGCTCAACTGTGAAAGACAAGAAGATTCAAGTGAAGAAATCAAAGTTTTGTGGCTTAATGTGTATTGAATGAGCAGTTCATATCAATAGTCTTAAGGATGATGAGAATACATGACTAAAATGATTAGGCATGTAATTATATTAATATAAGAAACTTATTTTCAAATTTATATTTTATATATTGATCATGTGCTCAATTGGCTTATCATCAAATTTATTTGAGTCCATATTTTTAAATAACAACAACAATAACAATTAGGGGTATTTACATACATACCACTTTATTTTATGTTATTTACATATTTAACATCTAAAACTTTAATATTACATGCATATCACCCTTAGAACAAATATGAGTGAATGGAACGAAATATTAAAGTTTATAGGGTGATATGGGTGGTAAGAATGAAATATATGAGTGATATATTGATATTAAATTTTTATAGAAGTGGTGGGAATGTAATATTAAAGTTTTGGGTGTTAGATATATAAATAGCATGAAATAATGTGGTATGTATGTAAATCTCCCTAACAATTAAGCATTTATCCCACTATGTAAGGTCAACTACATGAATAATTTTTCTCCACTGTGTTCTTTTAAGAATTAAATTCTCATTTAAATCTAATAAAAAAATTACATTTCTTATACTTTATAACTAAATCTTTTAAGGACTATTTCTACCTTCCTTAACATAAGTCAGATCTAACACATCTATGCTCCTAACTAGGTCATCAAAAAGCTGATGTTTTATGTAACCAAACCATCTAAGGTGACTCTAAAATCTAATTTGCCACTGGAGCTACTCCAACTTTTTCATTTATATACTAATTTAGCATTTTTCTCTAAGAGTAAAGCCACTCATCCACCTGAACATCCTCATCTCTGCAACACTTAGTTTATTTTTATGTTTCTATTTTAATGGCTAACATTCTGCGCCACAAAGCATTGCAGGTCTCACCACCATCTAACAGAATTTTCCCTTAAGTATGAGGGGTGCTTCTCTATCATACAAAAGGCCCGATGTATTCCTCCACTTCAACCATTCAACTTGAATTCTACTAATAATATCCTCATATATTGGACCATCGCTTGTAACAACAAATCTGAAATATCTAAAACGTGTACACTTTTTGATGACTTGATCATGCAGTCACAATCCCCCCACTAGATCAATTAATACTAAAATCATACTCCATGTATTCAATTTTAGATCTACTCAAACGAAAACCTTTAGACTCTAAGGTTGATCACCATAATTCAAGTTTTTCTTCAATTCCCTCTCTAGTTTTATCAACAACAAGAATATCATCAGCAAAAAACATACACCAAGGTACATCCTCTTGCAAATGTATACTAAGAACATCCATGAGTAAAACAAAAAAGATATGGTTTTAAAGCTAATCGTTGATGTAATCCAACTGAAATAGAAAAATACTTGGTCAAACCACTATGTGTATGAACACAAGTAACAACACCCTACATACATATCATTAATGAATAGAATATAAGAATTATTAATTCTTTTTTCTACAACTCTCTAAAGCAATTCTCCTAGGCCCTATCATATCAATAAATATCATATGTAGATCATTCATATTCTCTCTATACTTCTCCATCAAACCTCTCAATAAATGTATAACTTCCATAGTTGACTTACCCAGCATGAATCCAAATTGATTTTGAAAAACAATAGTATTATGTCAAAACCTAAGCTCAATTACTCTCTCTCATGGTTTTAATGTATGACACATTAACTTAATTCCATATATTTAATTATATTCAATAATTTTTTAGGTTTTAATTATGGAAATTATATCATTGATATCTTAATTAAAGAAATTGGTCTTAATTATAATATATTGCATATAAATTAACTATGTATTTTTCAGGTTGATAAACTTAGCTCAAATTTTGAGAAAGCTTGACAAAGTGTTAATGACATCATTAGATTATACTTAATAAATTTATTCTTAATTTTGATTCCATTAGTAGATTAATTGAGTTGATTACATATAAAATCATATGAAATATATTATAATTTAAATTTGAATTTATATAGTTAATATTAAATAAAAATTTATAATTATTACTTAAATACCACTCCACAAATAGCCCAACAAATGCAGAACCCACCCATGCCAGCATACCCACGTCAAGGTCTCAGCATGACCTGGCAAGCTATGTGACGACTAGTTTGATTGGTGATTGAGGTAACTTTTGACTAACATTTGTGGTTGATTTAGAGGGCATTTTGACCACATTTTTTTAATACTTAAGATACTTATTTTTAAGATTTATTCATTCCTATAAATACCACTTTACATTGAATAAAAAACAATACAAATTTGAGAAATTAATAAACTCTCTTGGTAAAATCATTGTGGAGATTTTAATGGAAAAAAAAACACCGTGTTAATCTCTCTTCTCATTCAAATTTTTAATAATTAGGAATTTAGATATATGAATTGAATCAAGAAGAAAAATTATCCCTTACGCACCTTCTCAATGCCAACTGTTTGTTGCAAGACGACAACAAAAGCATCCACAATTTGTTCAGCAGAAGTTACAATGTACAGAAATTCCTGAATGAGGTAAAAATGATTCAGATAAAACGTCTAAATTTTAGGAAACTCATTTAACAGCATACTGAAATTAAAGCATGTGCAAACAATCTACAAATTCTTCTTAAGTGAGGATCAGGATAAAAGGATTCATTTCAGTTCCATGATGTTGTAAGCAGTAGAACATCCAAGAAGAATGATAATACTTCAACAATCAAAGGAAATTGCTTTAAATGCCAACTCATTAAAACAATTATTATCGCTTACTCATACATTTTCCTTTTTTTTTTCTGGCAGTGCAAAAAATTCCATATGATGCTCCAATACTTTACCAAAGTCTTGGAGTTACAGCAACATTTTTTTTCTACATTTTATCGGACAAGCTTTTTCATGCTCTAAATACAGAAAAGATGAGGTTTACTACCTCTTGGTTTGTTAAAGGCAAGTACTTCAAGCAATCTGTGAGGAGCTTCAAAATGCTGATTGCTTCCAATGGAAATGAACATGACAGTGATGCAATAGCTGATATCAAGTTCCTCGAAAAGAAATATACACAAGCAGAAGAAGACTTCCAAATCATAGAAAACACAATAAATGGCCTCAAGAACCTCACAACCTCATTAATTCCAAGATATTTGTTACGAACAATGAACAACAAAACTTGTTCAATAAGCTCTTCATGTGATTCCTTGCAGCAAGAAAGAACCTAGCATCAAAAAGAGAAAAATTCAAAAACCCAAACAATATTTACAAATAAATAGAAGAAAAGAGAATAAAGGATGAGCTTAAACACTGTCTACCCTAAATTAGAAAAAGCTTCAATCACAAGAAACAAGAAACTCTAGAACGCATGTACAACAGAAAACAAAACCAAAAAACTAGAGGATTGATTGAACTAGCACATGCTTCTATCTAGAAAATACTTTATTAACTATATTGTACATAATAGAACAATAGGTTGTTTGCTGATCAATATAAGAGGGTCAGCCAGTGAGGACTGCAATTTGGATCACCATTATTGTGACATCACCTCTCCTGAAGTTTTATGATGGATTCATTTGGTCGGTGCTCTTGGTTTCACATAATTATCACATAACAAGTTCAGACATAAACAAGCAGGGCATGTAGCAAGCAGCATACAATTGAACCTAGTGTCAACAGAGTGACAGACTAGTACAGGAAGATTCCACCCCTCTAATGCAAGTCGATTTTGTTTATTAACCAAAATCTTTATCACTTGATGGCGCCTTTTATGATCTAAGCCATTATTTTAAAAGATGTTGAGGACCCCTATGATCGAACAAAGCAAACAAACCTACATCCAGATTACATTCAACAACGACTAGAAGCAATCCTAGTTTTACAACCAACAAATGACAAAGCACTCCATAGCAACATCCTGCAAAAGCCATATGATGTGGCGCCATTTAGTTAGGAAAATAGCCTGTCTCTTAGCTCATAGATAACCTTCTAAAGCCTATAAATTTCAGATGAGAAGTGGAAAAGGTTATATTTGTTGTATTAAATCCCTTTGCAAGAAAACTTGACCTTAGATCTACATTATCTCCCATATAAACCCTTCTTTTCCTTTTTCAATAACTCAGTTGAGTCCAATCAATTGATTCCAATCAACTACAACGAATATAATCTATCAAAATGATGATTGCAAGTGATGACAGTGATGCAGAACGTGGACAAAGCAGGCAACTCTAACGCCTCAGTATAGGCAACTCTAACTCAGTTAATGGAATATGAGTCAATTTCGGGTTGCACCCAAACCCGGCCCACAAACCCATTTTGACGCTCCTACCCCCACATCACAACCTTATGTTAGGTTTCCCTTAAGAATCCTGACTTTGTGCTCTTGTTTTTTAGGAGCACTATCTTTTGTTGCTACAGCTCTAAGTATACATGTAACTTTTTGCTTTTTTGAGTTGTAATTTTGATTATAGTTAATTTGTAATTTTGTTATTTTAGTGAATGAAATGGGCTATGCCCCAAAAAGTTAATCAAGATTTAACCGGACTTAACTTTTTCAAGACAAACAGTTTTCATAATTTAACTGCCTCAAGAATTACTAAATTTGGATTTATGGTATTTACTAAATCCTACTTGCACCAAATAGCCCCTTACTCCATGATTAAAGCAACAGAAACAGAGTGTCTTTCCTCATACTTGAGAGAAGCTTACATGCGAAATCCAAACCTAGCAGGACAACCATGCAGTGAAAAAATCTAATGAGAAGCTTTTTTCCCGATAAAATTCAAAATAATTTAAAACTCTTCTTCAAACACAAGAGAGAGAGAGAGAGAGAGAGAGAGAGAGAGAGATGAGCTTACCTTGACAAATGGGTGTAGGTCTACGAGCTCAAAACGACGGCCCCAGGAAGAATCAATGCAGAAAGCGAAGCGGCAGAGGAAGCCAATCCCCTTCACAAAGACGGGGGCGAAACGCTTCTCGCATCCCTCTAGGGCAGACTGCATCTCGATAAGCGCGACAGAAATGGAAAGGCGATCGCCGACGGCGACAAGACGACAGAGCTCGTGAACGGCCTGATCGACGACGGCAGCAAAAGGGGAGCGGAGGCACTGAGAGATGGCATCGTGACATACAGCGGAGTTTGGGCCAAGGACTCCGAGGGATGACTCGAGGCGGCGGAAGAGGGAGACGACGGCGAAACGCTGAAAGGAAGGCTGGGGCAAGCGAGTTTTCTCGAGGAGAGCGGCGTACGTACTGTCCATTTCCGCAGCGTCCGGAAAGGACTGAAGAAATATTTGGTGCCCACTATGAGAAATTATTTGATGCTGTATGCCAGAAATTATTTTGTACGGACGAAAGTAGGATAAATTATTGGGTCAGGTGATCGAATTCATCTCTCCGTTCGGTCACCAATAAAAATGCGCCATCTGTTAGGTGTTTTTTTAATTTAATATTAACGCTTTATGTCTTGTCAGAATTAGCGACCCGACCCGATAACGCATTTCATTTGAACTTTTAAGCATTTGCCGCCCTATTTTTTCATTTTGATACCCGCGAAAGACATAAATATCTACTGTTGTAGAAGAAAAAATGAGCCAAAAAATTGCAGAGAAGAAATGGACTGCTCAGCGAAGAGGGAGGTGGAAGAGGGAGTGCATGAATCGGAAAGGATGCATGAATCGGAAGGGCTGGTGCATGAATCGAAATCGGAACCTAACTTAGCCGGAAATTCCTCTGGTTTCAACATATCGGTAAGTTTCTTGGAAAAACGAGTTAGAAAGTTGTAAACAGTCAGTTTTAATATCATCGCCGTAGAAAGAAGACGTAGGTTTCAGCTCATTAGTCTTAGGATTTTTGATTTTGCGATTTTTAAGCAGAATAAATTTCTTTTGTCGAAAAAGTAAAAAAAAAAAAATCTAATGTTGTTGTTGCTTAGCTTTCATTATTGATTTTTAGGATGAAGATGATAAATAAAAAAACTGAACTTGTTTGATATCTAGTTGCGCTATATCGCTATAGTTGCGCTATAGTTGCGCTATAGTTGCGCTATAGTTGCGCTATAGATGCGCTATAGTTGCGCTATAGTTGCGCTATAGATGCGCTATAGTTGCGCTATAGTTGCGCTATAGTTGCGCTATAGTTGCGCTATAGTTGCGCTATAGTTGCGCTATAGTTGCGCTATAGTTGCGCTATACTTGCGCTATACTTGCCCTTTACTTGCGCTATACTTGCCCTTTACTTGCGCTATACTTGCCCTTTACTTGCGCTATACTTGCCCTTTACTTGCGCTATACTTGCCCTTTACTTGCGCTATACTTGCCCTTTACTTGCGCTATACTTGCCCTTTCAGGCTGTATACAAAGATGAGACAGAAGCATATGAATGTTTTTGCACTTATGCTCACGATAATGGATTTAGTGTCCGAAAGGATCATCACAGTTTTTGGCCAAATTCTAGAAAGATAAAATCGAAGGACTTTGTTTGTTCAAAAGCTGGTTTCAAGAAAAGTGATGATCATACTTCAGGAAAGA